AGAAGATACCATAAGTACAGCTCCTTCAAAACGGATCTGCTCTCCAACGGATTTGCTCTCAGCATTCATCAACCATCCTTGATTTCAGAGATTCCTTTAGTGGCATATATATTAAATCCGTTGTATAATTTTGTTATAGTGTATGTATCGTATGCCTCCATATGTGTATATATATTGGAGCATTTCATAGTTTCTGTAATTGATTTGTATGTAATTGAGAAAGAGCTAAGATTTATTATTTGAGATCTTAAAGCTTTATCTTCTACAATATCTCCTTTTCTGTTTTTTCACTTGGTATCAGAGCTAAAACCATGGCCAATATTTTACCTCCTGCCTCAGACTCTAGTTCTGCAAACCCAGACACCACCAGTCTTAGCTCAACAACTCAAGCTCCAGCTCTTGTGGGTAATTTTACCCCGTTTGGAGTAAACTTGACCCAAGCAGCCTCTGTCAAGCTAGATAGAGATAACTTTCTGCTTTGGAAAAATGTTATAATGCCTATTGTAAGAGGTCATGGCTTGGAAGACTTTCTACTGGGTAGCAATCAGTGCCCTTCTCAAACTATCGAAACACAAGTCACAACAGAGACTGGATTCATTGTTAGGTCGTCCCCTAATCCAGAGTTTTCAAGGTGGAACTCTATTGATCAACTACTAATGGGGTGGTTATACTCTTCAATGGAATCAGAAATTGTGATGCGTGTGATGGGATGTAACTGCTCAAGTGAGCTTTGGAGAGCTATAAATGAGAATTGTGGAATTCTCAACAGGTCCAGAGTGACCTTCCTCACGTCTGAATTGCAAAGAATGAGGAAAGGGTCCATGTCTATGGATCAATATCTCAGCACTGTCAAACAGCTTGCTGATAACCTGGAGGTAGCAGGGAAGAAAATTGAACACACTGATTTATTAACTCAAGTCTTAGCTGGGCTTGATGAAGAGTACACTCCTATCGTAGTGCAAGTAAACAGCAAGGATCAAGTCTCCTGGCATGAGCTGTCATCCATTCTCATGACCTTTGAGAGCAGACTAGAGTATCTCAGCCAAGTTCGAACTAATTTTGGCTCAATAAATCTTACTCACAACAGCCCTCAGAATGCAAATTCCTACAGTGGAAGAGGAAACAGAGGTTTCAGAGGCCAAAACTACAGATGAAGAATGAGAGGCAGAGGCAGGTCTAGAAGAGCAAATGACACAAGAAACCCATGCCAGATATGTGGAATGAGCAACCACAATGCTGCGTGGTGTTACAACAGATTCGATGAAAAGTATATGGGAA